CTTTTCTGACGCACTTCTCATCATCATCGAACCTGTTTTGTCTCTTTCTTTGGTTTCTTTGTTTCTACACAAAATCAAACCCACTAGAAGCAAACAGTTTCTTCTTTCCAAAACTCTTTTTCTCTTTTTCTAACACGTTTTTAAAAGGAAACTAAACGTCTTGTTGTGGTTTTGATTTCTTGAGAAGTCCAAACATTCTGAAACACTTAACAAAAGAGTTAGCAAATAAAAATCCTCACATTCTCAAAGTGTTTAGCTCATGATTTTAAGGTGGTCACTCAGAGTTCTTTTCAATGGTTCAAAGGATTATAAGAAGTCAAAATTTAGCAATCAAAAACCAAAACAACCTTTTATGGGTAAAAGAAAAGAGAAAGAAAGATGAAGAGATTTTTGTATGGATCCACCTTAACTGTCCTAAGGCTGGGTTTCTCTTCATCCAGTAGGGTTTCTCTTTCACCCCTCCCCTTGGATATCTCCTCATAAGTGATTCAAGCCAAAACTTTTACTCTTTCTTTCTTTTATCTTTTTTTGTCTAAAATAGGCGATCACAAGGGAGTAAAGGAACAGTCCGGATCCAACAAGAAATAATAAAAGAAGTTTGCGGAAAGATGAGAAGATGAAATGAAAAAAAAACAGCCAAAGTGGTTCTGATACCACTTGATACGCCCTAAATCGAAGGATCACTTTAGTTGGGTGTTGGATATGAACCGAGAAGGTAAACATCACTTCTAGAACTGAGATGGATTGAAAGGATCATCAAGAGATGCGGAATGGCTCTTAATATACCCAAGCTCTAAGGCTAACCACCAAAGAAAGGATGAATGTGTTGGCTAACCACCAAACAACACACAAACATGAAATGGGTGACCACCAAATCAACAAGCCGGTTCACACCAATGAACTAGCTAAAGAACTCTCTCTCTCACTCAGAGAAGAACAAAGACTAAGACTTTTGACTAGAAATAAGTGTGTTGTTGAATGTCCTTTGGTCTGACCACGACTTTGACTCCTTTTCTTGATATTTCTTGATGCAAATGGGAAGAAGACCACCAGCAAAGGCCTGGTCAAATTTGGTGTAAATCGGATCCAAATTGAATTTGTTATGAATTTTTATGTGGACTGAAAAAGGTCCATTTCGCCCATCAATTAAACCAGTTCCATCTTCAGTGTCACTTAGTTTATCCAGCTCCAAGCTAGTGTAACTTAGCTCACTCAACTCATTCAGTTCGTCCATGGTTGCGTCATCTGATGGGTAAACCTTGGTTGGATCGAGTTGGTTGACAAGATTGTCTCCTTGGACAGGTTCTATTATCCAAGCAGGTTGGTGCTCGAACCGGGGCGCATCAACAAGCTCCGAGGGATCAACAACGTAAGGAACATGTTAATGAGGAGGAAGAGGATGAAGATTTTTTCGACGAAAACCTTTTTGCGGGTCGGCAAGAACAGATTTGATATGCTCAAATTTTATTCCTATGAGCTACTCTGAAAATTCAGAGGTGCACTGTAGTATTCAGATGTCGAATCCACATACTCAGTATCACATAATAGATTACTGTTTTTGAATTAAGCTAAACAATAACAGATGTAGTGAAAATAAAAGACAAACTAAAGCATACGTAAGTTTGATAGGAAAGGTGCTAAATTTAGGGGTACTTTCAGGTAATTCAAAACACAATAACAGATGTAGTGAAAATAAAAGACAAACTAAAGCATACGTAAGTTTGATAGGAAAGGTGCTAAATTTAGGGGTACTTTCAGGTAATTCAAAACCGAAGACCAGACAAATTGCTATGTGTTTAATTAAGAACTGTTTTTTTTAACTCAAATGACAATAGTCAAATCATTCGACTTTCGTTACAGAGTTTATCTATGTTTAGATTCTAGAATTCAATATCTCTTTGAAAATTCAACAGTTCAGACAAGCATTAAGAATGAGTTCGATAATCTCATAAAAACCCTACATCAAATATCTTTACAGATATGTATTTTTTTCATTTAAGATTATTTCAAGAAATCAAAAACACTTTCATGTCTATCAATTATCCTAAGATCTGAATTCGAGGTGATTGAATTAAGAGATAATTGGCTAAAGTGTCCTATTTGGCACCTATAATTAGAGACTTGCCCATGATGTGATAATCACTTTCTTTTGGACCATTTTGCCCTTCTCTACACTCTCTCTCCTCTCTTTGACATTTCTCCCCTTTTTTTTCTCTTCAATCCCTAATTATTTTACAAATCTCTATCATTCTATATACAATTAAATTTTAAATTTCATTATTTTTCATAAGTGGCTTTGAATCCTCAATTTTTTGACTTTTTTTTCTCGCTCTAATCCCTAATTATTTTACAAATCTCTATCATTCTATATACAATTAAATTTTAAATTTCATTATTTTTTTCATAAGTGGCTTTGAATCCTCAATTTTTTTATGATATCAATTTTCTGGGTTTTAGATTCGACGTCGTGTTAGCGGTTAACAAATATTGTAGACGTTAACAGAAATGTTAGTTGTTAACAATTATTTTTACGCTTCGCGTTAATAAATGTGTTCGCTGTTAACAAATATTGTAGACGTTAACAGAAGTGTTAACTGTTAACAATTATTTGTACGCTTCGCGGTAATAAATGTGTTGGCTGTTAACAAATATTGTAGACGTTAACAGAAGTGTTATATGTTAACAAATGTTTTTACGCTTCGTGTTAATGAGAGGAAAGAGAAAGGACATTCTCGGCATTTCCTTGCCAAATGGTTGTGTCAGTGTCCTTCTTGTCCAATCAATGGTATTTTGCTAATTTGAGCTTAAAATATGGGTAGTTCACTAAATCACTCTTGAATTAACTAGTATTTGTTTCAATTTAGATGAAGATCATTCTATCCACTATAAAAAATTCATCTTTAACCTTTGAAAAGTTCTAAATCTAATTAGTGAATTACTCAAACATAATAGCATAAGAAAATCTTAGTCAGAATAAATTGCATTAAGAAATCAAAAGAGAAGTAAAGGAGTTTGAAATCTTCTCTCTACAAGGTGAATTCTGATTTTTCTCTCCATATCTTACGATCTCCCCAGCTCTCTCAAAATATGAGTAATGATAGAATAACTCTCAAAAATTTAATCAAAGTCTAAAACACAAAATTTGATTGCAAATAGTGGAAACATTGAGCCATTCTTCAATTTTTTGAAATTTTTTAAAAGCGTGTGGAGATTGCTATACACGATGGGTGCCGACCAACATCAAAGAGGTGGTGTCGGTCGACACCATGTCCAAAAATTGTTTCCAACTTGATGTTTTCAACTCCATTCTCCTTAAGCTCCAAAAGTTCCAATCTTGTCTAAAACGTACACAAAGCTACAAAGACTCATAGAGACTAAAAATACCAAAAAGACTCGAAACCAGACTTATATCATGGTCACACTCATAAAACCCATAATAGATAAAGCTTCTCTTTCCTCATCACTGTGAAGCACCTTCAGTGCCTCGAGGAGACAATCTCAGATGGGAGTCGGGTTTTCGACTTAACTTACCAGAATTCAATAGAACTTTGAAGCCCAACGAGCTGCTCAACTGGATTAGTTTGGTGGAGGAGCTTCTAACGTTTAAAAAATTTCCTCAGCGTGGTGGCAACAAGTCAAGGAACAACGAGCCTGAGCCAAAAAATATTGCATACGTAACTTTGAAGCGTCTTCTCCGTAAGACGTTCCTTCTGTACAGCTATACAATAACAGTGTATAATCAACTGCAGCAGAGCAACAAATCAGTGGATGATTATGCGGAAGGCGTTTCGATAATTTTTCACACTCCTATCAATAAACACTCTTCTTGAAACACATGATCTATTATTGGTGTCGCGTTTCATTGGCGGATTACGGAAAAAATACAGAACCATCTACTGGCATTCCATCCCTCACAGCTATTTTGCGAATATTTTTTCTGAGTTTTGTTTCAGAAACTTATCTTTCTATCGTAATAACAATGATACCATCTTTCTAATTCTCCTTACGATTTTTCTCGCTCTCATTATATTTTGTATCGAACCTTACCCTATAGAATGTACTTGGAACTGATGTCGAGGAAAGGCACATAAGTTCGTATAGACTTAGTGAGTTGATGTGACACGTTTTAACTATTATATATAAACCACTATTACATAGAAATGTGCAGTAGTATTTACGGATCAAATCCACATATACCAAACTGATGCTACGATTCTGCGAGAATGGTGTAGAGCTAGAACAAAAGAGGGGTTTTATATAAATTTTTTGATAATTATTTCTTTTAATATGAAGGTAATTATATCTGAAATTGTCCAATTAATGTAAAAGTATAAAAACTATATCATTCTTAATATGGTTTATCTTTCCAATTTATCCATAATAATCTAATTATCTAGAACCATCTATAGTCCAAGTGAGAATACAAGACATCCGTAATAGAGCCTTGGATACTAAGGAGATGTTAGTGGGAATTGAATTCATAAGAATTCTTAGAATTTTCAAGTATTGTGTTATTGGTTTATTGATTCTTAGATTTTCATTAAAATTTAGTGTTATTGGTTTGATGATTTTGTAATTCTATACAAAATTCCTTGTTATTCAAAAAGTTTAGATTTTAATGATTCTACAAATCTATTAAAGTACGTATTATTGGAGTTATAATTTTAACATTTTAACTCACATAACAAGATTTTGAGAATACTTTATATATATCCATTGGATTCTTAAAATCATTATAATACTTTACTTTCATAGATTTGCACAATATACAAAATTTTGTACAACTCTTTCTAAATTTAACAAATCTCTCAACTCTTAAATTCAACAAACTCTATAGAAATCTAAGTCCCACTAACACCTCCTTACCCCCTAATATCATCCTTTAATTACTTTAATTTTTCCACAATGGTGATATTATTGTGTTATTTCATCTAATTTATTATTTATCAACTGAATTGACTGTACATTTATCATCCTCTTTTCATCTCATTGATGTTTACAGTATACATTTTTTTTAAGAATACTAGACTTTTATTTGTGATTGAAAATACAGAATTGCTTCGACAAAAAAAAAATACTAAAGATATTTTTTAGATATTTTTTATATATGAAAAATTGTTTTTTATTTTTTTTTTAAATAAATATGTTAGTTAGGTTTGAACTAAAATCTTTGGATTTATAAAATACTACTAGTTCTTGTCTTATTTTTATGCTTTCATGAATCTTTTCAATTTCACTACATATAATATTATAAGTTAACTTTATAATATCTAACTGGTATAATTAAATAATACTCTTTTTAAAAAAAAGATAATATGTTTATTTTTTTGATTGTTATAATTAAGTTAATATTAATCTGAAATATTTTTTCAAAAACATAAAATTATATTGATTTATATACATACTTACTTAAACATAATTTTATCATATATAAAATTCATCAATATATTAATTTTTCTATTAAATTTATCATTTAATAAATTAATTCATTCATCACATCCTTAAATATATATCTAATTTGGTTATAAAATATATATATATATATATATATATCTAAAAATCTTATAAACATGTTGTTAACTTATGATTTAACTATAGAAATTTAGTGAAGTATTTTATATTGTAATTTTAATACTTAAATTATTTACATGCAAATATTTATTGAAAACAGAAAAGAACGAATGATATTTAGCTTAAATAAAGCTTATATGTTCGTTCTGTCTGAATTTTAAAACAAAGAGTGTACTTATGCCCAAATCAAAAATTAATAGAGTTTGAATAGGTTTGTGTAGATGAAAAATATGACCTAAATAAAAGTTGAATGAATTGTTTAAAAAGGAATAATAGTTTTATTAAATTTTGTAAAAATGTTAAAGTTAATAAAATTTTAAATAGAATTTAAAAATATATTTGATAATAATATATATCTTCTGAAAATTAATCAACTATTTGTGAGTTCCAAGTAAATTATAATAAACACTATGGTTAATTTTTTTAATTGAGATAATTTATAATTAAAATGATTAGAATTATTAAAAATTTCATGTAATTAATAACTGTAATCATGTCACTACTTATCAAAGAGAGGGAAGGCAATCAAAGAACGCTTAAATAAAAATTTATGTAGTTAAGAAAAAAAATTAAAACTTCCTTCGTCCATTAAATTTTCATTGTTGTTTGAGTCGACAATGACTTCTTCGAAATCGACTTCTCCGCAAGCGTTTTCTATGAAATTGTCTTCTTCGCAATCATCTAAAATCATCTTCTCCAGTATGTTTTGACGGTTTACAATGAGTTTTTTTTTGAGTTTGTGGCTGAGTTTGATTTATGTTGTGGCTGAGTTTGATTTATGTTGTATCTGAGTTAGTTTTCTATTGCGGCTACTTTGTATATGTAGTTGTGGCTAAATTAGTTTCTATTGCGGCTGATCTGTATATGCAGCTGTGACTGAGTTAGTTTCCTATTGCGGCTGATTTACATATGCAGTTGTGGCTGAATTAGTTTTCTATCGGCTGATTTCTATATGCAATTATGGCTGATTTTTTTTTGGCTGGTTTATTGTATACTTTACGTTTGATTTATAATTTCTATATTATATATGTCTTTTATGATCATATCAATGTTTCTGAAGATCAAGCGCGAGATTACCCTCTAAGTCTTTACGCTGAACCGGTTGATCATGAACCTTTTATTTTGTATCTGATTTGTGGTATGTTTATTTTGTATTTGATTTATGCTATGTTTATATAACTCAACCATGTTGTTTATATATCTCAGCAATGTCGTTTATATAACTCAACAATACCTTAAACATACTTTAAAATCGGAATTTTTTTATATAAGTCATTTGTGTCGTTTAGATAACTCAGATGAGTCGTTTATAGAACTCAGTCATACCTCAAATATACCTAAAATTGGAAAATGTAATTGAATTACCTTTAAAATTTATAGTGAAACTCCTCTCATCAAATCAATATCAAGTGGATATAAATCAATTAAATGTGTGTACTTTCTTAAATTTCCAGCTTGAGCCTTTAACTTGATCTTTAGGTATATGTTTTCTTAGAATTACTTATACAATTACTTACTTAAAAGACTAACTTTATCTTCAACCCTAAATCATATAAAGTAAATTATATGCAATGTACTTTATATCTTAAGTTGTGTACTTTCCTATATTTTCTAGTGGGCATACTTAAAAATCCTAAACCCTAAATCCTATACCTTAAACCATAAAGTCTAAATCATGTCTGAACAGTGTAAATCAGGCGTAATGTTCCTATAAGTCAGCCTTCAAGTATAATTTACATTGCTGAGTTTATATTTTGGGCGAGAACAAAACCATAAATTGGGTGTGCAAATTTCATCAAATTTATCTCATGACTTTTCTTGTTGTATATCTCTATATATATTTCCCTTCTCTGCAACATTGTCTCTCTCATCGCATACTTTCTAGAAAACCTAATCCTCAACAAAATTTACACCTTGTTTCCTCATCTATATGCAGAGCTCTACACCCTCTACTGTCGGTGTTGAATACATATATGCTTTTCGTGATCCAATTACCGAAAACAATAATTATTGGATTCATAAGAAGAAGACACGGCGTTTGTAACATAAACCCTAATATGATTGTTAACGTTCATAATCACATGGAAAATAAAAGCTGATGACTTGGAAAATCGTCAAGTAAACCACCAAACTAACACATAACTTGGCTTAAATAAATCAGCCATCAAGTACGAATCTAACATGAAAACTATTTCAATAATTAATATTTTAATAATTAATCTGCCGTAATTAGGCTAGAAAACATTAATTTAGTCGTATCATCAAATTAATCAACCGTCAAATTAATGTTGTTGCAGTAATTAATCTTTAGCTAATAAGTCACTCATAATTATGTTGATTTTACTGCTAGTCCATCTCATTACAGCTATACGTAAATCATCCGTAAATATCTCTCATAAGTCAGCTGTATATTTAATAACTTAGCCAAATGATGATCACTAAATCAGCCGGAAAAACATAACTCAGCTGTGACTTGTCTACAAATAAGCCATTTTTAGACAAATCAGTCCGCCAATGTATAAATTAGCCGAACCTTGTGTTTATAAGTCAGCTGTTATCTCATCATTTAGTTAGATTTTTGTAAATCAGCTGTAACGTATGGATGATTTATGTTCGTAAGTCAGCCATATCTCATACGCCAGCCATGTTGTTTAAATCAGCCGCAATGTAATCATAACTCAGTCGTCATTCGTCAATACCGCTATAGCACTTTATGGCTGAATTCATTAATACACGTCAAAGACTTCCTACGTGGCACCAGATTTTTCTGAAGTGATATTAAAAAGTATTCGTATTCTTATATTTACATTTATTGTCACAAGTAATAATAGACTGCAATACTTAAATGAAAAATATAAGGCAGAGCATCACAAAAAGCTACATTTAATCTGCAAAACTGCATTACACTTAAAATCCTATTAGATTTGATCCGCATTTGGAAAGCATGGATTTATTTTTGAAATTAAACATATTATTATAAATGAAATTTTATATAAAATAATGTATAGATTTAAATACATTTATCTAATTGAACGGCGCCATACCAAACTGAAAAACAAAAAGCAAAATTGAACCAGTTTTCATAAATACTCGATCATATCATATATCTTTGGAACCGAAAAATAGAAACCGAATGGAGAACCACATGGATACTTGAATTTTCTAAATAGAAATTATATAACTACAATATTAATATATATAATAATATCTAAATATCCTAAAATACTATTTATAAACCAAATTAGGCAAAAAATGAATTGTCCAAATATATTCTATTCAAAATATTCAAATTATTTGATAATTAAATCGCAGGATAGGTTACATTTAAAATTAAATAAAAAATATCATATCCATTATTAGAATTTTCAAAATAAATAAATATATCCTATTTAAATCAGTTTTTTTTTTACTAGTTCCATTTAAATCTCAACCCCTTTTAAACCCCATTTATATATATAATAAGATTAATCATTTAGTTCATGTATAAGAACTTATTATCAAATTTCAATAACTGATTGTATGTACTTAATTAAATTAATGTTTCATAGTTGAATGGTGTCTAGTTGAATAGTTGACATTAAGGGTTTTAACTTCTAATTTACGTAAAAATGTTAAATATATTAGAATCTTGGAGATTTATTGTTAGAGTAATTATATAATAAGTTATGGAAAGTAATAAGTGAATTCATTTAAATTATAAAACATTTATATAGTTAATAAATATAAAGGAAAACTAAAAAATATTAGTCTAATGAAAGGGTGCAACAAATTTTCATAAGAAAGGATGCATTAAATTTAATAGTACATTTTTTGGGAATGATTCTCTTTTAGCAGTACAGATATCTCATAGTTTTTTTTTTAGTTTTGACAAAATAAATATTTATTTTAGTGTTATATGGGCTTGAAAGAAAATATTATGTTAGGTTTATATGGGTTTGGTGAAACAAAAAAGGCTTATATGTGTGTAGTACATATATTGACTCCAATGAAAGAATCCAATACCAACAGGTGACAACTTGGTATTATTGTTAGGCGTAGTATAAATGGAAACAGATGTTGGACAATTATACAAAAATCCAGTTAATAATCCTACTATATATTAATCAAGAAGTCAATTTATTGATTTTTGCTTACAGATCATTCATAGTTGAAGTTTAGAATTAATTCTCTTAATTTGATTGGTTGTTGGTATTTAAATTTTTATTTATTTAAACCAAGTTTTAAAAGAAAACTAATTATAGAATTACCTAATCTAATCTATGTTACCAAATAAACAACCAAACATTTTAAATTTAAATGAATTAACATAATTCTTTTTGTTGAAACAATTGATTATCATGGATTACATTATATAAATGTATAATATAAATATAAATTTTTGCTTAGGTGTCACTCATAGGTGAAGTTTAAAATTAATTATCTAATTTAATTGGTAGTT